CAAAAACCTCCCAACACAGAAATAGCTAGACCAGATGGTTTCCCTAGTAAATTTTAGTAAACATTTAAGGAAGAATTAAAGCCAATTATTCTCAAGCTTTTCCATAAAGTTGGAGAGAAGGAAATACTTAACAAAGTTATTTAATGAGGTAAGCAATACTCTGACAGTAAAGACAGATAAGGACCCTATAAGAATAAAAAACTACAGACCAATGTCCCTGATGGACAAAGATGCAACAATCCTAAACAAAATATTAGCACACCAAATTCAAAAATCCAATGAAAGGATTACATACCATGACCATCTGGGATTTATCCCTAGAATTCAAGGATGGTTCAACATACATGAATGATTAAATGTGTTACCCAGATTAATAAAATGAAAAATAAAATTCATATGATCATCTCAAAAGATGCAACAACAAAAAAACACATTTGACAAAATACAACATTCTTTATGATAAAATTCCTCAATAGATTGAGTACAGAGAGAACACACCTCTACATAATAAAAGTAATATACAGCAAACACACAGATAAGAACATACTCAATTAAAAAAATAAAGGAAAGCTGTTCCTAGAAGATGAAGAAAAATACAAAGGTGCCCACTGTCACCACTCTTAATCAACACAGTACTGAAAGTCCTACCTAGGACAATCAGGCAGGACAAAGAAAAAGCATCCATGTAGGAAAGGAAAATTAAAATTGTTGCTATTTGCATATGATGTGATCTTATATACTGAAAATCCCAAAAACCGAAATTAAAAAATCGTTGGGTCTAACCAATGAATACAATAAAATTAAAGGGTATAAAATCAAAACACAGAAATTAGTTGTTTTCCAAACACTAACCATAATGAATCTGAGAAAGAAATAAAGAAAACTATCCCATTCACACTAGCTAGCATTAAAAAATAATTAAATACCTAGAAAGAAATTTAACCAAGTGAAAGGTCTATGAAAACTACAAGGCTTTGCTAAAAGAAACTGAAGATGACATAAACAAAGGGAAGGATATCCCATATCAAGGATTTGAAGAGTTAATACTGTTAAAAGGTACATGCCACCAAAGCCATTTTATAGATTCAACACAATCACTATCAAAATTCCTATGGCTTATTTTATTAAAAAACTTTTAAATCTTTTTATTTTTAAGAGAGAGACAGAGTGCGAGCAGGGGAGGGACAGGGAGGGAGGAAGACACAGAATTCTAAGCAGGCTCCAAGTGAGCTGTCAGCACAGAGCCCAATGCGGGGCTCAAACTTATGAAACACGAGTTTGTGACCTGAGTCAAACCACTTACGTCGGACGCTTAACCAACGGAGCCACCCAGGCACCTTGGCATTTTTCACAGTAATAGAAAAATCATTCCTCAAATTTGTATGGAACCTAAAAGATCTCTTTATAGCCAAAGTAATGACGATCAAGAAAATCCAAAGTGGAACCATCAAACTTACTGATTTCAAAGTATACTATGAAGCTATACTAATTAAACAGTGCTATCCTGGCATAAAAACAAGCACTTAGGTCAACAGAACAAAATACAGTACAGAATTAAAGCTCCTCATATACAGTCAACTAATAAATGATAAGGGATCTAAGAACATTCAATAGAGAAATGATAGTTTTCAATAAATGATGCTGGGAAAACTGGATAACCACATGCAAAGAAAATTGAATCTCACACCACCTTCAAAAATCACTTAGAAATGGATCAGACTTACACACTGGGATAGATGAGCCAAAGCACAAACAAAACAAAACAAACAAACAAAGTTAAGTGGGATTGCATCAAACTTAAAAGCTTCTACGCTGCAAAAGCTACAATTATGAAATTAAGAAAATGAAAAGGCAAATTAGTTACTGGTAAACAAAAGGCAAATGGATAATAGATTAACATCCAAAATATACACAGAATTCCTAGAACTCAATAACAAAAAACAAACAAAACAAACAAACAAAAAAACAACCCACATATAATCCAATTATAAAATGGGGAGAGGAACTGTACAGGTACTTTTCCAAAGAAGACATGACAACAGATACATGAAAAGGTCCTCCACAGCACTAATGCAAGTCAAAACCACAATGAGATACCATTTCACACCTGTAACAATAGTTATTATCAAGAAAACAAGAGATAGATAACAAGTGTTAGCACTATTGGTGGGAATGAAATTGGTTCAGCCTCTACAGAGAACTGTATAGAGTTTCCCCAAAAGTGTTAAAAATAGAACTACCATATGATCCAGCAATCACAGTTCTGAGTATAAATCAAAAGGAATTTAAAATTATCAAAGAGATATACACACGCCCATGTATACTGCAGCATTATACACAACAGCCAAATTATGTCCATAAATGAGTGAATGGACAAAGACATGCTGATATACATACATACACACACACACACACATCACATTAGTGTGTGTGTATATATATATATGTAACAGAATTATATATATATATATTATGTATCATATTCATATGTATATGAGCAGAATTATATATATAAATATATATACATATATAAAACAGAATAGTATTCAGCCACAAGAAAAAGGAAAGTCCTGTCATTTGCAGCAACACGGATGGCTCTTGAGGACATTATGTTAAGTAAGTGAAGACAAATACGGTCAGATACCTCCTATATGTGAAATGTAAACAAAACAAAACAAATGAAGAAACAATAACATAGTAGTTGCCAGCGGCTCAGGAGTAGAAGAAGGGAAGAGATGTTCTTCAGGGTACATGCTTGCAACAAGTACATAAATTAGACATGGAGTTCTCATACATGTACAGTGATTACAGACAGCAAAACTGTGTTAAAGATATTAAACTTGCTAAGAGACTAGATCTTAATTTTTTCCACCAATAGAAGAAATCATATTATGAGATGTGATAGAAAGGTTTGCTAATGCCTCAATGGTAATCCTATGAAAACATGTATATTGAATCAATGTGCTATGTATCTTTAACTTACAGCATGTTAAATGTCAATAATATTTCAGTAACAATGAGTATAATTCAATATTTTACTGATAAGAAAATAATTTATTTACAGATGGATTATGTCAGTTTTATTACTATCAAATGATTTCTTTTTCTCAGAAAAACTACCAAAGGAAATAAAGTATTTGCATCAATAATGAAATTGCAAACATTTAAAATCAAAATAATTGTATTCTTGACTATTGTTTTGAAATAATTCATGTTCACACATATCATGTAGTAGTAAAATAATGTACAGGGGGAAAGATCTTCATAAACCTAAAACAGGCATAAAACTAAATAGGAACTGAAAGTTTTCTTCCTAATCACAATTAAATGATAACATACAAAGTATGTCATTTATGTATTTTTATATGAAACGTATCTGGGAGGGGAACACTCATTGCATACTGTGCAGTTTGCATTAAAAAACCTGAAACTTGGGGCGCCTGGGTGGCTTAGTTGGTTAAGCGTCCAACTTTCGCTCAGGTCATGATCTTGCGGTTCGTGGGTTCGAGCCCCGCGTCGGGCTCTGTGCTGACTGCCGGCTCAGAGCCTGGAGCCTGTTTCGGAATCTGTGTCTCCCTCTCTCTCTGACCCTCCCCTGCTCACGCTGTCTCTCTCTCTCTCCTGGAAATAAATAAAACATTAAAAAATTAAAAAAAAAAAAAAAAACCTGAAACTTCCATGAATATCAACTTTTTGTCAAGCAATGTTTGTCAATAGTAAAAAATGACTTTTTTACTATTTTGTGTAAAGAATTTATATCACACGTAAGTCTTTTTTGTTATTACAAGGTGATCTTGGTCCCAGTGGTAAGGAAGAAACAGAACAGAGAAGTTTGTTTTTTAAGGGTAGATGAACAAATTGAAGAATTCTCAAGCATCCAGTTATATTTTTTTCTTATGAAATATTTGTGGGATAATCTGACTCCATGTAAATGTGTGCTATTGGAGTACCAGAAGTTAGAGAAGAAAAAGCTGCAGAGAAAAAGAAACAATACAAACAACCACAGACTTCTCATCAGTTAACGTGCATACTGTAAATTTTAAAACAATCATAAAATAAAATGAAGAGACATTTAGTAAGTCAAAAGAGAAAATAAAACAGAGTAAACATTTTATACAAGAGAAGGCAGAAAAAGAGGAAAAAAGGAACAAAACAGATGGAATAAATAGAAAACAGCAAACAAAACATTTAAAATTAACCATATCGCTATTACATGAAATATAAACACAGAAAGTTAAAAAGAGATTGTTAGACTAGTTTTATAAAACAGGAAAACAAGACCAAATTATGTACTACTACATGCCTAAAATTTGAAAGAGTCCAAATGTCTATGAAGATGAATGCAGAAACAAACTGCCACAATCTTACAATGGAGTACTAACCAGCAATAATGGCTCATCTACTGATAAGGTTAACGACAGGAGTAAATTTCAAAATGATGTGCTAGGCAAAAGGTCACACACACACACACACGCACACACACGCTGGATGATTTCTATTTTCATACAGTCATAGAACATTCACAACTATTCTACAGTGATAGAAAATTAGATTTAGTTTCCTGGGGAGGAATGTGGGGGTGCATAAGGGAAGCATGACAAAAGGTTCTGAGCTATAGAATATTTTACTTCATGTTGGAGTAATATTTAAACAGGTATATACCTTAGAGAAGTATCACTGAGTTATATACGTAAAGTGGATCTTATGTATCCTATGTAAACCATAATTTAAATTCAGAAAGAATGTTAAATTAAGAATCAAAATTATATCCAGAAATTTTCCAAAAGTTAGAAATTAAATACATTTTAAAGTAGTGTTAAAAGGTGGCTTACTGGATGTTTAAGAACATATATATATATATATCTCCAGCTTAATTTGGAATCCATAAATTTAAAATTATAATAACAACATGAAGACTAATCAGTAACTTTAATGTTCTACGAAAAATTATTTAAACATACACATAATCACACGTCTAGAAACATACACAAAGTAATTACCAATTGAAGCTGAGTACATTTGTTTCATGTGAGTTTCAATGACAGAAGGATCCCGTGAGCTGTAAATTCCCAACTCAGGGTAAAAGCTGGAGCCAATGTCATCCGGAGGATTATGTTTCCCTTGTGGATAATTCTTGGTTATTCTAGGGTCCCAATGCTTCAGGATTGGATGGTTCCAATGTATATATTTACCATCAAATTGAGGATTTCCATACCAACTGTAATAAAAGACATGTAAATAATAATTCAGAGGTTGCAGCTCTTCCAGGTAAGGTTCAGAGGCTTTGGATGGTTTCACAGTGATTTCAACACTTTTCAAATTCTTGACATTTGTTTCACTGTTGATTCTGTCATTGTTTTGGGAATCAAGGCTTTTCCCTAAGCGAGTCTGTTGATGAAGTTCTGGAAGAAGTTCAAGTCCAAAAGGATCTCCAAAAGTAGCTTTATTTGGCCTCAGCATTTTTAAACCCATCATCAGGGAGAAAATAAATAGAATAAAAAGTGACAAAATGATGCAAGTCCTTCTTCGAAATTTGGCCATGATGACATACTTTAAACTCCAAAATGGTAAGTGTTTAGCTGTAATTTATTGAAAAATGGTAATTAGTAAGTAGTATTCACAATTAATTCCCAATGTATTCAAAAAGAAAACTAAAATCCATAAAGTTCATTATACTGAAAGATTTTAAAAGTTTATACTAGTTGTATAATCAAATACTAATGTCTACAAAATTATATATGGCTAGACTAAATTGCAGTATTTGGATATATTACAAATAATTTTTTCTGATAAACATTTTAGGAATTTTATTGAAGAAAGTATTTTTCAGGGGCGCCCAAGTGGCTTAAGTCGATTAAGTGTCAACTTCGCCTCAGGCTCAGGTCATGATCTCAGGCCTTCTAAGTTTGAGCCAGGAGCCTGGCTCTGTGCTAACAACTCAGAGCCTGGAGCCTGCTTCAGATTCTGTCTAGGTCTCTTTCTGCCCCTCCTCCATTTGAGCACACGGGCACCCACACACTCTCTCTCTCTCTCTCTCTCATCTCTCAAATTTAAACAATCATTAAAAACATTTTATAAAAAGGAAGTATTTTTCATCATTTGAACAGATTTTGTGTATACTAAATACAGGAAGTGCATATTCTATGCAAATGGTCTAAAATTTTCTAAATATTAGAGGTTCACCATTTCAAAAGGGAAATACTTATAAATAGATTAGAAGCCTAGTCATCAAGTGGATTTTCAACAAACTTTTTTTTTTTAACTAAAATAATGATTTCACAAGAAGGGAGTAATCACACATTTTTACGACATTTCTGAAATGGAAAAGAATGATAAATAAAAAAGAATGATCACAAGTGAGGGATTCCTAATTAAAAATTATGTTATTACTCTATAACTTTGAAAGTCTAACTCAACAGAAATTATAAACATAGACATATAACTTCTAAAATGGTATTACAGAAATATGTATCTGTATATATATATAGATATGTATGTATATGTACATAAGTATATATACACATATATGAATAAAATATCCTTATGTATAAATTTGTTTGGGGAAAAGTTGACATTGATTTATAAAATATGACTTTCTATAATAAATCATTCTGTTGTCATTTCCAAAGAATTAAGTTCATAATAAACTAACCCTGAGAGAAAAGACAGACAAGATAAACAATCAAATCAGCAAGTAATTCTATCTCACACATACACAAATACTTTTCATAAATTGTTACTTCCATTATGCATGTATGCAAGAATTAACTAAGATGAGCAAGCATATTTCTTTTAGGGCTAAAATCAGTCTTCTCAAAGTAAACCTGATTTTACTGTTTTAATTTTTTTTATGTCTTTATTTTATTTTGAGAGACAGAGAGCAAGCAGGGGAGTGGCAGAGAGGGAGGGAGACACAGAATCTGAAGCAGGCTCCAGGCTGTCAGCACAGAGTCCGACGTGAAGCTCAAACACAGACTGCGAGATCATGACTTGAGCCGAAGTTGGATGCTTAACCAACTGAGCCACCAAGGCACCCCATTAACTGTGAAATATATCACGCCTAAAGATTAATATAAAAGACATACATCTAGGTTGAAACATAAAAACATTCAAAAAGGAAACTACCAGCTCAAAAACTCATCTCCACCTTTTGTGCCCTTGCTAATCACCAGTCCTGCCCCTTCTCCTTAAGAACAACTACTTGCCTTTTGTATTAACATCCCATCACCTTTCTTTGTAGTTTTTCTAGAACACATACGTATCTAACCAACATTCATTTTGTTTTGCCCATTTCAAAAATTTATTTAAGTAGATATGGTAATATCTGTATGTATAACATGCATATGTATATACACACAAATAGAGAATATGCATAGTAATCTTAAACAGATATATATACTTACATATACTTAGATATACTATATATGTATAATTACATATCTAATTAGATGTACATAAGTTATACAAAAATATAGAGAAACATTATTAAACCTTCTCTGACACTTGGTATCTTACCTCTTTCCCATCCCTATATTCTAATTCACATCAGTTCTTCCTCTCATAAAAAAGCCATGAAAATGAAAAGGCATAGGTAGACAGATCTGGAGAATTTTATTTTACAGCTATAACAATCCACTAGTTTGATGAAAATGCTTTCATGTCAAATATTCTCCTTCTTAAACTTTGTAAGTAAAGGTAACACTTTCTCTATTGTTCCTAACACTAATTTAGGGACCCCCCCCAAAGTTATTATATTTTAATATTATTACATGCATACACTATAACCACAGCAACAAGCTGGACTCATTAACAGAGGTCATGTAATCAATTAGCACTAGACATAAACTAAAACAAGCATTATGAAAGCAGACATATTTGACTTTTAGATGAGAAAAAGTTGAATCCTTACTGTTGTTCAAGGAACAAAAATATACTTCATTTGGCTAAAATATCCAAAAAAATTCTAGAAAACTAAAAGATGTGTAACTCAGTTTAATTGAGCAACTAAATTGCATAAAAAGTAGTATGCTAAGCAGCACATGAAATAGATTGGTTAGTAAGACATAGTTCTTATGTTCAAAGTGCTTAGAGTCCACAAGGAAGGCAGAAGACACATATGCAAATATACTATAACTCAAAGAAGTGCTAAGAGAAAAGTGAGAGGTATATATAAAGCAGTAAAATGCCATATAAATTAAGGAGTTGAAGAAAACTCTTTAAGAAAAAATTGTAAAATCTTATAAGAATGAGTACAATATGCATAGGCTGGTGGAAAAGAGAAGGAAAAAAAAAACAATGTCCCTAGTGTCAGAGAAAGGATCTGCCCAAAGATACACTGGATATGAAAGGCACATTGTGAAACAAAAAGGCCTCTCTCTATAAGCTACAACCAGTAAAAGAAGATGAGGAGGAAAAATAAAGCTGTAGTGCCATGCTGGAACCAAACCATAACAAAGAAAGAGTACTTTTCTGGTAAATGGGGGACCACTAAAGGCTTGCAAAAAAATATTGGAGTAAAAGTTCAGATTAGAAGAATGGAGCATTTATTTTAAAAAAATCATGTTCAAGGCATTAAACTCCACCATTTTCTGAATCTAATAATCTCCCATCCACTGATAATTTTAACAACTTACTCCTAGTTCTATTACTGTTTTTAGTGACTCCAATAACTTGGATGATCCAGTCCAGTAGTTTAGCTTCCCAATTCTTTGCCTCGCTTCTAAAGATGTTTTTTTCACCAACTCTGGTGTCACATACTCATACTCTCGATCCTGACATTTTCAAACATTACTCCAAAATCTTTATTTTTCCCCATTTCCAAACATAACTCCTGTGCCTTGAGCCCCTTTAGTTAGTACTCTGATTGTGGCAATTCCTTGACCTTATTGAGATGTCCAATCCACCGAGTCCACTGCTTTCTCACTATTTATTCTTTTCTTCATGTTTTGTTTCCCATTAAGAAATTAACGAACCTTGACATCGACTTGTTTATTGTCAGCAAAGGTTTCCAATTTTAATTTTAATATTTGTTCTGTTTCACTGCTTTGATTTTCTTCTACAGAAAACTCTATTTTATTGAATTTTGCTCAACTTTTACAACTGTATTTTCTCTCTTCAATTTTTAAGTTTCTTTACCGTCTACATCTCATAAGGCATTATCTATTATGTTTATCTTAAAGTCTTCATTTATGGAATTTACTCATTTCTCACTCTTCATAGTCATAATTTGCTTATTCACCCAAATCTCATGTAGCTATTTTAATTATTTCTATTTAAATATTAGGTTATGGTCATCATATATTTTGTGAACATCTCTCTCTGGCATGCTTTCAGTATCTACAAGTATATTCACTTCTTTGCCTATAAGGACTTTGTACAGGATCTGAATGATCTTTTTTGTTGCTAAATATTACATGAAATAATTTTCTCTCAATTTTTGGAAGTGAATGCTTTACAATGAGAGTTTTTCTAGCTTCATGATCTAGAGAACTTATGTTGTTTCTGTGAAATCTTACAATGGCCCTGAATTTTTTTCTGAGATCAGTTGGGTTCTTCTTCATTCCCACATTTATCTGGCATCTTTTTATTTCCTTGGCTTGTATGCTATTACTCCCCTGCTGAATTTGAAAGCTATTTCTAGAAGTTACTCTTCAATACGGAGTTTTGTCCTGAAACCAAGATGTTCCTCTCTAGATATGACTGCAAAGTTTCCCTCCCCCATTGCAGCTATTATTCTCAAACTGGGCTGTCACTCTTTCCAATTATCACCAATGGTTAGAAATGTGCTTGTTGTCAGTTCAAGCAGACGCACTATTGCTTTCCTCCGTCTCCTGCAGCGTTAGAATACAAGCCTTATAGTTAGAGAGCTGTCCCCTCCCACTCACACAGTGAGTCCACGGAGGATAACTTGTCATTTCAGTTTTGTTACAGATTATTTGTTTGGGTTTTACTATTTACTGGTCTGCTTATATGATTTCAGGATAATTTAAACATCATATCAAAGCTGTTGCCATCAACCCTCAACTCTTTGTACTTTCTTTAAAATGTGTTAATACCATAACTTTACTGCTAATTACATCTTTAGCATTATCTTAGGAGTTCTGTATTTTCCTGTATTATCCACTTAGTTCAAAATATAATCAAATTTCCAGTATTTCTCCCATGATAACTTATTTCTAAGTTATTATACCTGGGAAACTTCCTAGTTTTTTTGTTATTGATTTATAGTGAGAATCCATTGAAAATCATCCCCTACATGATTTCAGACCTTTGAAATATGTTGAGACTTGCTTTAAGGCTCAGCCTATGATCAGTTTTGTTAAGTGTCCCATATACACCTGGAAAGTATACTCTGCAGCTAGTAGTTACAGAGATCTACATACCAAGTATGCTATCTTATTTATATCTTCAGTGTTAAAAATCCCCTATATTTATATCTATTATATAATTTTAATTGATGTTATTATGTAGAGACAAATTTGAGACTACTAGATTTTCCTAAAATATTAACTTTTATTTTATAATGAAATGTTCCTTTCCTTCTCTACTGATAGAGTAGAATGTAAGACAAAACCTAATA